TTTATTTTTCACAAATATATCTGGATGATATTGCCTAAATATGTATTTTTAACAATTTAGAAATATTTCATTTCGATATTTCTAGAATTTTAATGAATAATCTTTTCAAAATATTTCACTTAAAAATTTGTAACATATTTCATTTTTTTATTTTGCAAACATTAAAAAATAATATGTCAGTAATTTTTCATCCTTACATTTCCTCAACATTTCGCTGAAATTTTTCGTACAATCGGAACTGCAGTATTTCTTATAGGCGGACATTTCATTGTTGCATCAAAATTTCATGGACCTTTCATTGAAATATTTCGAATCTTTCAATGAAATATTCAGGACAAATTCAGGAAATTTTATGTGCTGTGTGGGCTCTCGCAAGAAAACAGAGTTAACTCTGGGTCATCTAGTAATAAATTTTTGGGGACTTTTATGAAATCTAGAAACAACAAATTTTATTTTAACATTACATTACTAGAATAAAAGGCCCGTTTCACATGTTGTTACAATTGCAAACCCTGCGCCAATCAAAATGAATCGTCTATGCCAAATTGCCAATCAACAACGTTCACAACCAACAGACGAACTGAAAATTAAAATTTACATTTGAGCACCACTGCTAACTCTAGAGTTAACTCTGAGTGAATGCCGAAAACACCCAAAATGTCCCATTACGACCAATAATATCTACCAATGGCTGTCCCACATACAAACTTGTGAGCTACCTAACCTCTTTTATTTTAAAAAATATCACCACACCAAAATACACAGTAAAAACAGTTTTGAATTTATGGAACGTATTAAAAATGTTAAAATTCCAGAAGACTATATCCTTATTTCCCTCGATGCTGTTTCTCTTTTCACCAATGTTCAAATTGGTCTAGCTCATGATGCTATTATTAAAAGATACGACGAAATAAAAGAAAAAACAAAAATTTCATTAAATCAAACTAGAAATGCCCTGAGAGTATGCACAAAAAATTCAAACTTCAATTTTAAAGGAGTCACATATAAAAAAAAATTTGGTTTTCCTATGGGATCTCCCATCTCACCAATTATGTCGGACATTGTTATGGACGACCTTGAAAATCATTGCATACAATTACTTCCATTCCAACTCCCATCCTACTGTAGATATGTAGACGAGATTTCTACAGCGGTACCCATTAATCACATTGAAACAATTGTTAACATTTTTAACTCCTACAACCATAAGATTCAATTCACAATAGTAAAAGAAATTAATAAAAAAATTAGTTTTTTGGACATCTCAATAATAAGAGACGGTGAAAATATAAAAACGAATTGGTATCAAAAACCCACAAGCTCCGACAGAATTCTCAATTTTCATTCCAATCATCCAAACAAATACAAAATGAATGTTGTCAATAATTTGACTGATCGGGGTATTCTATTATCACATAAAGCTTTTCACAAAGATAACCTAAACAAAATTAAACTAATTCTTACAAAAAACAACTATCCATCTGACTTTATTAACAAGATTATGACAAAACGATTACACACTTTAAAAAAACGACTCTTAAACAAAAATCCAGAACAGGTAAACGCACAACCTATAGCCGCCCCCTCCCATGTTAACACCCCTCTAGCCTCACAACAACAACAACAACAACAACAAAATTATATATCACTACCCTACGTACAAGGCCTTTCTGAAAAATCATCAGGCATATTGAAACCATTCAATATCAACCTAGCATTCCGTAATACTACAGATCTCTCATCCATTTTTAAAACACAAAAAGATACAATTTCCAAATTTGACAAAAATAACATTGTCTATCGAATTCCCTGCAACGATTGCGATTCTTCTTACATAGGAACTACAAAACGGCCTTTCAAAAAACGGTTGACAGAACATAGAAACAATGTATACGAGACACCTGACAAATGGACAGCGCTAACAAAACATTCATGGATCGAAGATCACACATTTAATTTGCAGGACCCAACCATTCTAGAACAAACCAACTTCTACAAAAAAAAGAATGTTACTGGAGATGACACACATTGCCAGTGATGATAAAACAGTTAACGAAAGAACCGATGTTAATAACTTATCATCATTTTATTTATCCATTCTCTCCAAAAATAGAAATTTAAATTCACAATAAAACACCACATACTCTCACTAAACAATTCATTTTTTTTCCTGCACATATATACGTTTGTATGTATATTTGTATAAAACACACTTTACATAATTTAACCACCCCCCACCCCCTAAACATTACCTACACTTATAAACCACTATCTGAAAAATTCTTTAACGTTCCTTACATTTAAATCTCCTAACACCGACATAAACAATTCAACACACATTCACAAGTAATTCCTTCAAAAAAAATTCTATTTTATGATCCTTCATAAACATAAAGGCACAAATGATATTTGACTCTTTAGTGTCAATCACTACGGGATATAATACCCATGGTCCAAATCGCTACGTCTAAACAAGCCATTTAAAAATCCCTTTAAACACGCATGTTTTATTTTTTTCTCTTTTGCACATGGTTTCAAAAATGCACTACAATATTATAAAGTTTTTTCTATATCACAACAAGTATACCAAACCTCCCAAAAATTCAGTATCCTCTGAAAAGTCGAGGCGAAAGCATTTGGAGAATTTTTATCTTTTCGTAAAAATTATTATTAATTGATACTTTTCTTAAAAATAAATAAATAAAATAAAATGTGTAAAATATTTAAAATATATGTGTTGTGCAGTGTTACAATTAATTGGAGTACATTCATAGTATGCTTCAATAGTATTACTTCTATCTACATTAAACTTTCTTCAAACATGTGATTGTAAGTTGCAAATTGTTGGCAAGAAATTTCTTCTTTGGATATAATTTTCTATTATAAATTCAATTAAAAAATTTTTATATAAATCTATTATTTATGACTTCGACGTTATTTTTATTTTATACTTTATACTTATTTCATATTTTTTAACAACTAAATTAAATTATGGACAATATCTAAATTTTGAACATTACTCTACAGTTACATTTGTACTTATCATTACAGATACTATAATAAATATTCACTGACGAAGGCACACATCAGTTGCCGAAACGTATAAAATAAAGGAAAAGTTTTGTTCTTTTTTCATAGAACCCTCATGCCAAAGAACTTAGAAATACATCAAATCAAACTAAGGGTTCAAGTAAAAAACATCATAATGCAAGTAATAAAAAAAATTTGTCAGATATGCTTTTTTAAGATTTTTTTATGCTCTTTCTAATAGAGGATTTTGTTTTAAAAAATTTTTTAATTTTTACTTTGATTTTCTATAATTAAACATCATTTTGCTATTTTCACCAAAATCGATATTTTTTTTCAAAATAACTATTTGCATATGAAAGCTAAGGTTCTTTCCGATCTGTATACAAATTTTCCTATTATCCTATTTCTATCTCCTTCTATGTCTTTTTATATTTTACTTTCTGTTTCTAAATATTTCAATTTGCTCTTGTCTATTTCTAACTCTTTCAAATAATATAAACAAATCAAAATGTAATAATATTAATTTATTAATAAAATTATATCTTTTTTGTGCTTAAATATAAACTTAAATGCAATTTAATAAATTAATATTACACCCCAATTTTACTATAACAATTTTTTTTGTTAAAAAAAACATACAATTATAATTAATTATTAGGGGAATGTGGGGTAATGGGAGAGCGTGGGTAATAAGAGATTTTTAATTTCAAGTACATAGAGACTTTGAATTTCGCGGAAATAACTCAGAAAACTTGGACAGTCTTCCTGTATGTCATACCAAGACAAATGGTCACATTTCTGAAAGATTTGTAGAAACTACAAGGAAAAATCAAATTTTTGAGTTTTTCTTCTTAAATGGAAAATATTTCTGGAGATCAAATTAAATAGTTAAAAATTATTATTTAATTATGTTTTGTGATTATATTAGAGATAAATATGTGTAGAGTTGGATACATGAATAAAAATAGAGGTAATAATTAAATTTGTTTATGTTTCTCTTCTTTTTTTCAAATTGTGGCCTGTGAAAATGCTTTGGGGTAATAGGAGAAAATGCATTTTTTAAAAAAAAATTTTTTGTGCAAATTTCCTTTCTTTCTCTTAATTTCTAATTAATTATAATTAAAGATAAATAACAAAAGGAGTAAAATATGACCAAAACAATATTTTATTATAAAGATAAGTCGGTTTTTTAGTAATTTTCTTTAAGGGGCTTCAATTCCCCTACTTCCCTCACAGCATTGGATATCACGTGGATATCCTATTTTCATCCCGCGATATCCCTGAGATAGCCCAGGGATATCCTTTTGTTGTGTGGGTTAATATATCACAGGTTTATATATTTTAAATTAAAATTTGTTTTATTTGAAAGAAATCTATACTTTTGAAAATCTTAAGTTTTATTCAAAAATTTCTTTAAATTGTTTCTAATTCGAAATTTTTGTCATTTTTGAAAAAGCTCATTTTTTCTTATTGCACAAAAAGGTGAAGTTTTTTTAAAATATTCACAATGAGAAATGATTTAAAAAAATAATTGATTATGGAACTTTTTTTTTACTAATTTCTTAAACAAATAACTTATCATTTGCAAGAAAAATTTTGTCCTCATAGTTTTTACAGTAAAATAATTTATTATTTTTAAATAACAATGTACTGATTGTACTACACAATTAATATTTAATTTTATGAATGTTAAACATGTAGTTTTAAAATTGAGTGTTACTGTTAAATATGTAACAATGAAAGAGTGATACTAATTGCGCTCATTATTTGTGCTAGTTTTTAATAAAATTTAATAAATGTTTAAAATTTTGAAATAATAACGAGACACGTGTAAAAAACTGAATCCTTGAAAAAATATCGGTTCGTCGAACAATAGTAAAAAATTATAATTTAACAACTATAGAGATATAAAAAAATGAATACAAAAAAGCAATAAAATTTAGTTTGAAAAATGCTAATGTCGAAAAATATTTTAGTATAAAATAAACGTTTATTACTTCATTTTTTCTTTGGACATCAAAGTTGTTATATCATGTAACAAGTGATCATTTGCTTATCATTAAACAAAAATTTATAAAAAAAGTATATAGGCATATCTCTGGAACCTTTAAAATTGAACCCAAAAAACTGAAAAATACTGGTTTCTTATTTTCTAAAATCAATGGGAAAAACGAATTTTTGAGGATAGTTTTCGAGGTACAGAGTTCAATTTTTTTTTAAATTACACCGAATTTTATAAACTTTCTTCTTTCAAAATTACTTTAAAATACGAAGCTATAAAATTTTTTAAAATTTATTTAATAAAAATGTTAAAAAGATACAAAAAAAGAATTTTAAAAACGGAAAGTAACAAAAAGAGAAACCATTTGAAAATATTGAAGGTGGAGTAGACAAATTTATATTAAAAAAAAGTTGACTCGAATAAAATTATTTTTGGTTTTTTTAAAGGAAAAAAATTTGTTACAAATTTTAAAAATCATGTTGCCTACTAATACTGCGATTGCTTTATTAATTATGATGGTGTGCCATATTATTTTAATAAATTCCTTCGAACACCCATCGAAAGAAGAAGAAGAAGAAGTTAAATTAGTTAGTGTGGTAAGTTTGAATTTAATGTTTACTGAGTTATAAAACAAAATGTTTGAGATTTGCACTTAATTTTTTAATCAGAAGTGGATGGAGTAAATAATTCAATTATGCACAAAATTTACTTAATTTTCACACTTTATTTTGCGAAACACAAATGTAGTATACAATGAACAAAAATGGCGTGACAACAATGTGATCAAGCACAAAAATTTAATTGTTTTGAGAGTTGCCTAAAAGTTATTTAATGAAATTGAGAACACTTAAAATAATGACCCGGTAATAAGATATACCGTGATAAATGTTTGAGTTTATTGTTTTAGAGATTAATGCTCGCTTACTGCAAAATGCCAATAAGAACGACTTTTCCGGTTGATTGCTATGAGAATACTAAAAGTGCGTACACGCAGCGCATTGGTTGTGTGTATTGCGTGCGTGGTGATTTTGTGAATGTATTTGTGTGTTGCCTTGTAAATTGTGGAAAACGAGTATGTGTTGGTGTGAGTTTTCCCGCTAATCAGCTGTTAAACCGACGCCTAGTTTTAGTATTGAGATTAACGCGGCATTGAGTATGTAATAATTGTGAAAAAGTGTATCAATTGAAACACGCAATTTTGAACAAATAATAATAAACATTTTTAAATAAATAATAATGTAATTAAATTAAAAGAATTTAAAATGAGTAACAATAATTAATATTATTTTCATAAAACTTGGGTTTTTGGGTCGCTCATTACGAATTTGAAGTCAGATTTTCAAAATCCGATTTTTGAATAATTGATAGAGTTAAACTTTAAAAATCTGGCTATAGATTACGTAATCGTATGGATTACATATCAAAAGTGTCAGTTCTCGTACGCGAACAGTGCTGTATATTTCGGGGGGAATAGTAGTTTTTCATATTATTATTATTCATTTGCATAGCAAAAGCAAATAATTTTTTTACTGAGAAAAAATGAATTTTTACTTAGTTGACAAACAGTGTTGCGTGTTGTGCCTAGATCCTAAAAAAAATTTTTACCTACGTTTTAAGAAATTTGATAACCCATATCGATGAGCAATGCATATTCATAAACAATACATTATATTATATATTTCTGTACGATAGAATTGAAATATGATTTTATTAACATTTCGAATAACAAAAAAATGTAATTGTACATTTTCTGAACGTTACAATTATTATTTGTTCATGTATTTGCATTTTAAGAAGGTTCATCCCATAATCGATTTTCTACAGATTTTTAAAAAATTTTTAAGATGTATTATTGACATCACTTTACATGTGTTGTTCAAATTTTATTGAATTTTACCGTATCATTTTCAAGATAAAAATTGATAAAGTTTGAAGTTTTACATGGGAACAGTGAAAAAACATGAAAAATGACCATGTTTTCATTAACTAAAAAAAAACGGTTCTACAGATTTTTTTCAAAAACTAATATGTTTTAAATTATGAGTTTTTACAAAAATATGAAATTTTTTTACCGTTTGGTTGTGAAGTAAATGTTAATCAAAGTTAGCAACTTTTGAACTTATCCCATGTAAATAAAAGAAAGAAGAGGAGAAACGGCAAATTAACCTCTAAATTGGCCAGTGGAGCTCAACTTTTATGGACTATAGCTGTCGGTTTTAAACTTACGGAAAACCACTAATAGAATGAGTACCGCTTGAAGGGATGAACCTCGTTAAGAATATAGATATTGCTTTAATTAGCCCAAAAATTGGTAGTGTAATAAACTTTAAGTATTAATTGTTATAAAAAATTTATTAACAATAATTATTGTTTGTATTTATTATAATAATTATTATTAAAAAATAAATGTCATTTATAAGTAACATACGAATTATTATTTTTGGGCCCTTAGTCACAACATATATACAGCACTGATAATATTTCGTGAAAAAAATTCTGAGTCCAGGCAAAGGAGTTGGCCGGGATCTTTTTTATGGCAGGCTTAATAGTTCTATTGAAGAAAATTTAGCCTACCGCTACCCTTTTTCACCTGTTCCTAGAAAAAAAACTGTCTACAGAAATGACCAAAATCGCGAAAAGAACGATAATTACACTTTTTCCAACAAATTGAATTAATTGTTGGGTTTAATATTTATGCACAGAAATTTGATTCATTAAAATCGGCCCAGTAGATCGAGAGATAACACAAATTTTTTCAATGAAGATTTTCATATAAAAGTGTCATGCAAAGTCAGGTAATTTCTGAAGTAACAAAAAATAGGGTGCATTTTGATCTATTTTTGCGTCTGCCAAAAAGAAAATTTTTTTGGAGAAACAGACTGAAGTATACAAGCTTGTGAGATTCTAAGCTTTCCAAATATTGTTTCCGTTTTTTCCTAGCAATTTTTTTTAAAGGATTATTTAAAGTGAAAGTCTATCATTTTTCAGGGGCCTTGAATTTTCTCGCGGATAGTAGTCAAATCCTAAAATCACTGGTATCTAGTGGTGGGGGAAGCTTATCAGGTTGCGAGTTTGAGAACGGGAAAAAAATTCTGAAAAATAGTCAGGTTGCGGGGATTGCCTATATCTTTATAAATACACAGTATTGATAAATATTAAATAATTGAAGAAAAAAATTAAGTTATCATCTATTTTGATTTAAAAAACAAATCGAAGAAAAGAGGTTTAACCGGTACAATATTTTTTATCGTCTATTTATAATTAATTTATGTGCCCACAGGTATTTAGACATGGTGATCGTACTCCAGATACTATATATCCTAAAATTCTTTATGATAATAGTATCTACACAGACGGTATTGGAGAATTAATAGACGTAGGTTTTTTAAAATAATCACTAAATAAAAAATTATTTTTTAATTTTTACATTTTTTTTCTAAGACAAAATTTTTTAAAAATTGTAAACAAATAAATTGTGCAAACATCTTGAGAAATATTACTAAACAAATTAAAAAATAGTAAAAAATAATTTTATTTAAATGAAAACGGAATATAAAATATTTAAATGTTTATCTGTAATTAACTATTTATAAGCAGATCTACAAATGTATTATATATATATATATATATATATATATTGTTGGTGAAAGTCTAAAAATCAATTATTATTGAATTTAATAAAATAGTTTTTGAATTACAACGTTTTTAATTTTTGATTTTTGAAAAAAAATTTTTTTTCAATGTACAATATTTATAAGTAGAATGCATGGGTGCAGTTCCGAATAGCACATACCTCTGATTTCGATAAAACTTGGTATCCCTACGTAATTTGGTGCGCTGATTACGAAAATCATAGTGAAAATTGGCGGAAATTTAATTATCATGGTAAAAACCATAAAAAACACCATAAAATCATGGTTTTTTTCGATTATCTCGTAAAAAACAAAAAACTTCGAAAAAAGTTTTAGACGAAAGTTGTAGATCTCTAAAAAACACACATTTCATGTTTTATGCATTTTTTACCAAAAGTCATTATTTTTCGAGAAAAACGCAAAATAGTAAACACGGCCTTCGGCCGCGTAAGGTACTGCTCGCTTCTCTTTTTAAGAAATCTTGGCGAGAGGGGGTGGATGTGTCCGAAAGTAATTTGCAGAAATTATCATATTCACCATTACTCAGGATCCAACGAATTCCGCAAAATACTTTCGGCCATATCCACCCCCTCTCGCCAAGGTTTTTTTAAAAAGAAAAGCGAGCAGTACCTTACGCGGCCGAAGGCCGTGTTTACTATTTTGCGTTTACCGCTGCTGTAGACTCCACCCCACAATTTCTGCAAATTACTTTCGGACACATCCACCCCCTCTCGCCAAGATTTCTTAAAAAGAGAAGCGAGCAGTACCTTACGCGGCCGAAGGCCGTGTTTACTATTTTGCGTTTTTCTCGAAAAATAATGACTTTTGGTAAAAAATGCATAAAACATGAAATGTGTGTTTTTTAGAGATCTACAACTTTCGTCTAAAACTTTTTTCGAAGTTTTTTGTTTTTTACGAGATAATCGAAAAAAACCATGATTTTATGGTGTTTTTTATGGTTTTTACCATGATAATTAAATTTCCGCCAATTTTCACTATGATTTTCGTAATCAGCGCACCAAATTACGTAGGGATACTAAGTTTTATTGAAATCGGAGGTATGTGCTATTCGGAACTATATCCGTATTTTGGATAAGTAGATTGTTAATAAACAATTAGTTAACATTGCAATTGTTTATTAACAATCTACTTATCCAAAATACTTCATATAGGGCTCGTTGGATGCGGAATTGAAACTTGGGGAAATTGTAGTCCTACCTGATAATAAAATATCCCCAAAAAAATTTTTGACTGTTTTCAAATTTTGGGGGAGATAGAGGGGGTCAATTTTATCAGTTTTCTCTGACACCGCCTACTATTTAAATTTTTTCTGTCTATAAATGCAATAAAAAATTTTAGCAGGTATGTTTTTTGAAGGTTTACTCCCTCACAACAAAAGGATATCCTGAAAACGTCCATAGGATATCCTCAGAACATCCAAACCGACGTTACGTAGGATATTTTTGGGATATCCTGGGGATATATTGAGGATATTCTGGGATATCCTGGGGATATCCTGAGGATATTCTAGAGATATCCCTGGAATATTCCAGGGATATCCTAGTGATATCGTGGGGATATTCTTGGGATAAACTTAGTATATCGTTAAAATATTCTAGAAATATCGCTAAGATCTCCCTAGGATATCATTATGATTCAAATTTTAGAACGACTCAAGGATATTCTAACCCTTAAGTTAATATAGACATACTGTGGATATCCTTAGGACGTCCTAAGGACATCTTTAATTATTCCAGGGATATCCACAAGATATCCTAATAATATCTTGGGAAATGATTAGCATATTCCTGGGACGTCCTAGGGACATCCTTAGATATCCCTAGGATATCCTAATCGCCGCTACTTTGGATATCCTTAAAGTATCCTTAGGATATCCAAGGGATGTTTTTGGAATATCCTAGGATATCTGGTGCTGTGAGGGTTCATGCAACCTATGTATATAGAAAATCAAGGTCAAAATTCAAAAATTTTAAAAAACGAAATTCACCATTGAAAAGAGCATGAAAAAAACCTTTAAAAAACATACCTGCCAAAATTTTTTTTATTGCATTTATAGACAGAAAAAATTCAAATAGTAGACGGTGTCAGGGAAAACTGATAAAATTGACCCCCCTCTATCTCCCTCAAAATTTCAAAAAAGTCAAAAAATTTTTTGGGGATATTTTACTATTAGGTAGGACAACAATTTCCCCACGTTTCACTTTTTTTCGAGAAATTAATTTTTTAACACAGGACATTACACGTAAAATGCCTCATATATATATGTGTGTGTATTTTTAAATTTAGCAAGGCAAAAGAAGAGTTTCTCAACTTGGAGAAAAATTGCGTGAGAGATATAATAAATTTTTAGGACCAATTTATCATCCAGGCGATGTTTATACTCGCAGTACTGATTTCACAAGAACAAAAATGACATTACAATTTGTTCTTGAATCATTATATCCAAATAATAATTTACCAATTCCAATAACTTTTGAACCTAGGAAAAAAGACAAACTTCTTTTGAGAATGTACTATTGTAAACTGTAAGTATGTTTTTTTAATGTGATACTGATATGAAATAAGTGATTACAATAGTCTACTTATTTGTTTGGCTACAATCTGAAAATTACAATTTAATATGTATGACTATATTTAAATAAATTTTTTTTTAGATTTACAGACATCTACGAAAATTTAAAAACAGAAAAATTGATTCAAGCAGATCTAAAAGGTTTTGATCAGATTGAGAATGAAATGTCAAAAAAAACAGGATGGTCAATGAATGATGTATACGATCTTTATATATTTTATTGCAATCTTGTATGTTTAAAGTATATGAATAAGACACTTCCCACCTGGACTAATGAGAAATTAAATGTTCTGGAAAATTCAACTTTCACACTTCATAATTTAATGAACTATAACAATAAATTGAAAAAATTGAATGGAGGTGGGTCAATTAACAAAAATTCAAAATCATAGTAAAAAATATTTCCTAAATAGCAATTAATTTAAAAAACAAAACATTCGAACATCTACTTATTTGTATTAAATAGACAAACGATAGTAATACATTCATGTTTCCTAAAAATATTTAATAAACGTTCATCATTTAGCTAATTAATCAATTTCTTGCATGAAAAACCGTTTTTATATTATGAATGACACTCAGCCAGGTGTGTAATTAATTGAAAAAAACTTTTTTTTTAATGAAAAAAAAATTAACTGAAAAGAAAAAATAAAATTTGTTAAAATAATTCTATAGGAGCACTGTTAAAAAAAGTTACTAAGGACATGCAGTCAGTTGCATATGGTAGTAAGAAAAAAACGAAAATATTTTTATACAGTGGCCACGATCTCAATGTATATGCAATGTTGGCAGCTCTAAATGTTGTCAAGCCACATCTACCAGAATTTACAAGTGCTGTTATAATAGAGCTTTATACAATCGAAGAAGCTTATTACGTTAGGGTAAATTAAAATTAATTTATTTTAATATTTCCAGCTTTTTGGACAAATAGATTTGAGATAAGTCAGGAATAGTCGGGGACATGGAGGCCGTTTTCACTGTGTAGATAAATTCAACCTCTCGGACGATTAAATTTGAATCTACATGGTGAAAACGGCCTCATAGATATGTATATAACAAATAATAATATATTTATTTCAGGTCTTGCACTATTTGGGTATTCCATCTGAAATGAAGACAGTAGATATACCAAATTGCGCTTCACCATGTGCATTGGAAGCATTCTACAATTCTATTGAAGATGTCATTCCATCTAATGAAGAGTTTAATTGCTAATGGTATTAAATTGTACCATTTATCGTATTAAATTATATTTGGATTTATATAATCAAATAATTTATATGTACAACTAAAAAAATACAGTTGATATTATTGTACAATAAAAATTTTCTTCATCTAAAAACTTGAAGCATTCATAAGCTCTTAGTCCGGGAATTTCTCTAATATTATAATCTTTCTTTATTTTTATTTAATTAAATTTTTGTGATACATCGATGCAGAAAAGCAAATGAGTTCAAACACGTGGTTGAATGACCATAAACATAAATGTTTAGGTAATCATCACCCACATACTATTAAATATATATCCAACAAAAGGAATAATAGGTATTATCCAAATTTAAAGAGACATTATATTCTTAATTTCTATTATTCAACTATATCATCAGATGAGATTGTCAAAATATAGTAAAAAATTAATGAATGAAATAAAATTCTTATAAGTTTGTTTTGCTTATTTCTTATTCTATACTTATTTTCTTATCCTTTATTTTTAAATTATTTGTCGCTTTTTCAAACTAAATTAGAGGAATCTTTTCAATAATTATTTAGTTTTTTTAGCTTTTGTTATTAACTTTCCAAAATTGTTACTTGTTAATTTTACCGAATTATCTAATCTAACTTTTCTTTTCTTGTATAAAAAAATTAAATCTGAATGATTTATTATAATTTAACAATAAATTGTTAACTTATTTTATTAAACTTTAATAGATTTATCTCTGAAAAACCCTACTAGATAATTAATTCAAATGAATTAATTATATCCTGATTTATATAATATTTGGGTTTATTGGGATCATTTTTTAGTTTAATATTTCAAACTGTCATGACCGTCACCTATTGCAATGCCCACGGAATATAAGAATATTAAACAAGAATTACGATTTAATCTTTGTTACCACTCTTGGACAATCAGTAGTGTTGGTAGAAATCTTGCGATTGATTTTCCGTGGCTCGACTTTGAAGATTTGTGTTTATTTAAATTTGTATATTATTGCTGAATAATAATTTTTATTACTGCTTTGAAAAATCAGTTGTTTTGGTAGAAATCAATAGAAAGCTCCTGACAACCGACTTTTTTCAGTAAGTAATTTTTATTGCTAATTTTGAAGAACCAATCGTGTTGGTACAAATAGTCAGAAAGCTCCTGACAATTGGCTTTTACAAAATCAATCCCTCACTACTTTACGCGGGGTGCTTCTCCCATGTATTTCTTACCGTCAATTTCTCCCTCTATTTGAAATTTTCGCAGCGTCTATTTTTCAGTAGCCAATTACATTGTCTACCTGTCAATTATTTTCCTTTAATTGACTTTTATTTCCAAAAATCTTTAATTTCTCAAAAAATAATAATTTTAGAATTATTTAACTTTTACCATTAATTTTTAAATAATTTGATATCTTCTCTCTCTTTTTATTATTTCCAGAAAATCTATTTATGTAATTTTAAATTAAATTCTTGATATTATTTTATATTTTAGTAATTTATACCTAATTTTCCATATAATTTATAATAATTTTATAATTAAATTTTTGACTATTGAAATACCATTTCAAACTGGTCATTTATATTGTTATTATTAATAGTGTCCATTACAAAGCCTTTCAATTCAAAATTATTTGAATCTTTTAGTTTAATGTGAAAAATTACATGACCTTTGGAATGATTGATCCTCGTTTAATTCCCACTGAAATTATTGAAGTAATGAATTATTATGTTCTTTTAATTTTCATCAAGCATTATTTTGTTAGAACTCAATTTATCATCGAGAATTGTAAGATAAAAAAACATACTTGACCTTGCTAATCGAAGAACATTTTTACGATTTTTATTATTTTTTTCTTCCGGTGAGATTCTCATCAAACATCTTGAAAAAGCATGATGGCTGGAAACAATTTTTACAAAAAATAAAAAAAATTCTCTATTATTTTTTCATTGTCATCTAAAATTGTACGATCAAACGAACTTACCTGTACGTGAAGTTAGATCGTAATTATATGAAGCGCCTCGTTCGAAGATGATTACAAGTAGTAGTGTCCAGTTATACTTGAAACTTCACAACTTTTTAGAGTTTAAATTTGAAAAATTTCAGCGCGCTCTAGTAGCGCCCTCTATTCGTGATGCGTCGTTCACCTCATTTGGTTTAGAGTATATTGTATTTTTTGAAAGTAGAATTCTTGAATTTGAGATGATTGGGTGGGAAAGTTGATTTTTGTGGTGGGAAGTGTAATCATCTTCGAACGAGGCGCTTCATATAATTACGATCGAACTTCACGTACAGGTAAGTTCGTTTGATCGTACAATTATATTTGCGCCTCGTTCTCGAGATTACATGTAGATGTTCAGAGTTTAGATTCCACTTTCATCCCTTATATGATATAAAATATTGAACATTTTGTATCTTAGTTAAGAAATTTATTTAGCGTTTTGTTGAAGAACACTTAAACCGAAGGTAACATTACTTTCTTGTATTGGTAAGTTATAGAAACGAGCAAACATTTTTGAATTATTTGACCATCCTGCGGTTCGTCTAATGGTACTTATGTCGACGCCGCGTTTGGAAGCCGAAGATACAGAGGCATGTATAGTGCTGTAAGTCGTGAATTTGTTCATATCAATTCCAGATTTAGATAAAAGCGATTTTACCCAATGACCTAACGTTTGCGAACAAACTGATTTGTAAAGTTTTCTTACTGAAATGAACAAATTTTCGACTGTGGTACGGTTTTCTTTAGTAAAATCAAGGTAATCTAAGATTGCTTTGCCCGGACAGATTTTGGGCCTGTCTGGTAAAAAAGAAAGTATCAAACTGGATTGAATACTTCCTGGTTTTGAGGTTTTTATTAAATCTGGGATTTTAATTTCTATATTAGATTCTGTGATTACGATATTTTTAATATTTATCAATGCGAGTGTCTGTAGACGATGCGCTGTAACCAAAGCCAACAGAGTGGCGGTTTTTGCTGATATTTGTGCTGGTGTTAATTCGTTAACAGGTGGAAGATTTTCGATGTATTCGAAGACTGGATCAGTGTTCCAAGTTGTGCTATATTTTAGTTTGGTAGGTCTTTGCCTATAAACACCTTTGAAAAAACGAGTAATCACAGAATCTTTTGAAATATCGTTAACTGATATTACAGAAATCGCACTTCTTGCCGAATTTAATGTATCGTAACTGGCGCCAGCTGAAAATTTTTTGGATAAAAATTCTAATACAGTGTTAGTAGTTGGGTGGAACGTATCGTAACCCTTATTTTTTGTAAATGAGTACCATTCTTTTAATGGTCTGTTGTATTGCTTTAGGGTGGCTGTTGAGATTGATGAACTGAGTAAATCAATCGACTCCTTTTATCAGAAATGCTTCCCTGACAATTTCGCTGCTACTAACGTCATGTTCTTGGCCGAAGGATGAGTTATTTTCCTGCAAGGAGAAATGAGTAGATTTGGAGACGGCTTGAAAAATAACAATGGTTTTCTTGCGAGAGTTTTAAATAAGGGGTACCACGGTTGTGTGGTCCAATATGGTATTACCATAGTTCCGCTTGCTTTTTCCTGAATAATTTTTCGCAGAGATGGCAATATTAGTGCGAAGGGAGGAAAAGCATAGAAATTTTCATTTGACCAAGAAATTGTGAACGCGTCAATTACTTCAGCTTCCGGGTCTTGAAAACGAGAGCAAAATCTTCTACATTTAGTGTTTAGTCGAGAAGCGAATAAGTCAATAGAATGGGATCTAAAGGAACGAGTGATCTCCTCGTATACGTCGTTAGATAGTTTCCATTCTGTATCAATATTATTGATTCTTGATGCCCTATCTGCTTCGATATTTTCTTTTGAGGCTATGTAAGACGCTGTTATTAGCAGTTTCCTACTCTCGCACTATTGCCAGATCTGACGAGCTAATTCGCTTAATTTTTGATACTGTACCCCGCCTGCCTTATTTACGTACGCTATAGCGGTCGTATTATCGAGTCGCAATAAAACTTCACAATTATGGTTCTCGTTGGCGAAGCATTTTAATGCGAAAAAAGCAGCCAGGAGTTCGAGGTAATTGATATGACAATTTCTTTCCGATTCACTCCAGAACCCATGACTGCTTACGCCATTGCAACAAGAACCCCAGCCTGTAAGTGAGGCATCCGAGCTAATTTCTAATTTGAATGGACGTGACCTAATAGGATTGTTACTCGATAAAATGTTTTGTTTCCACCAAAGAAGGTCTTCTTGTAGGTTGTTTTCGATCGTCATATTTGCATCATAGTTCTCTGTCTGTAAGAGCAAAGCCAAATACTTCGCTCTTTCTAATCTTTTACAGTGAATCAGACTATATGTGACGGCAGGACAGCAGGAATTTAAGGTCCCTAGCAATTTTGAAAAATCTCTTATTTTTGTCTGATCGCCTACGTTAAAGTGGTCTAAAAGATTAAAAATGCGCAGTGTTTTCTCCTTTGGTAGTTCTAATTGAAACTTTTCCGAATCTATTATGAATCCCAGGTATTTACATTTTTGTGAGGGTTCTAAGCAACTCTTTTTATAATTGAGAAGAAAACCTAATTTTTTGAGTAACGAAACCGCTCGTTCCAAGTTAAGTTTACAAAGATTGTAGGTTCTCCCAATGCATAAAATGTCATCGAGATAGATAACTGACAATAGACCTTGTATTCGTAAGGCATTCATGACCGGTTTCATAATTTTAGTGAAAACGTAAGGGCTGGTACATAGACCGAAAGGCAAGCACGTGAATTGATATGATTTCATCGAATCGAAATCTCAAAAATTTCCTGTATTCTGTGTCTACTGAGACCAAATTAAAAGCGTCTTGTAAGTCGATTGAACCCATAAATGCACCTTCTGTGATTAAATTTTTTGCGATCCGAATGTCTTCCAACTTAAAATGAGGAGGATTAATGTAAAAATTTAGCCCTTTTAAATTAAGTATAAATCTATATGAACCGTTAGATCTTTTAGTTAAAAAGTAGGTCGACAAAAATTGACCTTTACAATCTTTCACGACTTCAATAGCCTTTTTTATCAGTAATTTTGAGATTTCAATTCGTAAGTCGTCAATATTTTCGGACGGCTCTGGTGGAGGGTATTCTTGAAGCAGAGTAGTATGAAAAGGGATTTTATATCCTTGTATACACGTTAAAACGTACTTGTCTTGTGTTAAATTAGACCAACTCTCATAAAATTTACTCAATCGACCGGCAACATCGCTTACCAGATTTATTTCTTGTTTGTCGATCGGGAGGTCGGTTGAGTCGGAGTCTGATTCGACTTCTGCGGCCAATTGGAGTTCTTGGATTGTGTACTGAACTTCGTGTTGGATCGAGGTTTCCAATTCACCCGTTGAAAATTGTTCACCTGTCGGGATTTCGGCAGTGAACCCCTCCAGTTTCCCTGAAACGCTCGTTGTCCGGGAGTTTTGGGCGGGCCTTTAATTTTTGCACTTAATTT